ATATTATTAATAATAATTAAATACCTATTATATTTAAGCTTTATATTTAAGCTTTAATATCTCTGCAGTGAATTTACCTTGCTTTAAAGGGTAGGTTGACCTGGAAAGCAGCATTAGCTGACCTCCACTAGGATTCTGCTACGGTGGCTAGGCTTCTTCTGACATTTAAACTAACTTTTTTTATAGCTAGCTCAGGTAATTCTACCCTGAGTAACAGGGCAACTACAGGGAGCAAAGTATGTGGTAAGGCTTGGGGGGCAAGGCGGGTCAGATTTTGATGACTGCTCCGTTATTTTCAGAAGTACATTTGACATTTGAGAGTTAAATTTCCATTTGATTTCCAAGTCACTTAATTATTCACTTAATAAAATAATTCTGTAAAAAGATCATGGAATCATAGAATAGTTTGGGTGGGAAGTGGCCTTTAGAGGTCATCTAGTCTAGTCCCCCTGCAATGAGCAGGGACATCTTCAACTAGATGATATGAATGAGTATTGTGTATGGTGTGAAGGACTAAAACAAAGGAAACAAGCAAATGGGTGGGTAAGCAACATATAGGAAAGAATAGAAATAAAGCCAACAGAATGAGTTGTGCTCAGTTTTGAAACTTACATTAGATTAATTAATTAATCTGTATATGGAACAATTATAATTGTCTATTAATGTGTATTATACTCTCCTTAACCTAATAGACAGTCCAATCTCATATTTGTATTCCAAATATAAAGAGAAAACATTCACTTTATATTCTACATTTTTTGTTTAGTTACGTCACGAAAGCCAAGGGATGATGAAAAGGATGGACAAGCGTACAGATTTGTGTCACGAGCTGAAATGGAGATGGATATTAAAGCTGGCAGATATTTGGAGCATGGAGAATATGAAGGAAATCTTTATGGCACCAAAATTGATTCCATCCTTGAAGTTGTTCAGACAGGAAGGACCTGCATCTTGGACGTGAATCCACAGGTATATAATTTATAACGTTACATTACAAGTGTAGGAGTATAATGTCGAAGAGGTATGTCTTTAAATTTGAAAGCTTTCTATCTGGTGTAACGATTACAGTATCAACTGGATTCTTGCATTTGTGGCACTTAGTTGGAATGAGTTAGATGGAAAAAAATCAGCTTTGATTCTGCATGGAAGAGGAGTCTGGCAGAGTAGTAATTAATCTTTTTTGACAAGGAAAGAATGACATTGAGCATTTCAAAAGGCAGTGTAGGAGTTTCCAAAACAGAAATAAGAATCTTCACTTGTGTGTTTCTGCCCATTGTAACAGACTAGTTTTGCAGTGCCTCTTAAGTAATGGGGACATGTAGTGAGTCATTCTCAAACTTAGGGTTTTTTTTTCTTTTTCTTTGCTTCTAGGCCCTGAAAATACTGAGGACTTCAGAATTCATGCCCTATGTAGTGTTTATTGCAGCTCCAGAGTTGGAGACTTTGCGTGCTATGCACAAGGCTGTGGTAGATGCTGGAATTACAACCAAACTTCTCACTGTAAGCAGATTATTTTGTATTTAGTTTGCTTTGAACGGGACATTCTTAGATTTTTTTTTCCCTTTCATTTTAGAAGGAATTTGTTCTGAAATTAATGTTTCTAAGAAAAGTTAGGCAAGACTTTTGCTGATTACTTAGTAGAAGTTAATCAAATACTATGTATAAGGCAGACTGCTTCTTTCTTAAAAATAGACCTCTTACAGAGAAGTGTTGATTTCAAAAATTACTTGTAATGTGTTATTTGGGAAGTGTCACCTTTTGATTATTTGCAGCAAATGGTAGATATCTGATGTTGGGAATTGTTCTTTTATGTAAACATCTTTTCTTCACTTTCCCCATCTCTCTCCCTACAAAAGTTTTGTTCAGGTTTGTCTTATAATACAGGTGTGCTGTAAAAATGGAATCTGTAAACCTTGGGAAAGATATTGCAGCCTGCATTAAAAAAAAAAAAAAAAAAGGGCAAAAAAGCCAAACAAAACAACCAACAGTAGGATGCAACTGGGCCTTGTTTCCACTGCTGCAGCAGCACATGCTGCACGGAGAATGGCCAGGAGCTGCCAGAGTAAGAAGTGTTGAATGGCTTCTCTTCCCCTGAAGTTCCTTGGATTTGTCATGTAAAGCAAAGTAGCACATTTTATTCATTAGATCTTCAGTTTCTGAGACACAGTGTGTAGCAGAGAAATGAGACGTGCTTTCTCCAGCACAGCAAATGACAAATATTCTATATGGGCATGAACTTCCCCAGCTGCAGGACCAAAGCAAAAGAAGCTAGATGGAGTGGTTAAGAAAACTATCCTCTGTGTTCAGCAGTACAACTTCCCCACTTGAGAAAAGCCATGGTTTGCTGACAAACATCTTTTCTTCACTTTCCCCATCTCTCTCCCGTCTCACGACAATAGAGCTGCAGCTGAGATAGCAGCAATATCTTGTATAATGCCGACGGGTCATTCAAAGCAATAAAATGGGAGAGGGGTTAATTTTCACTAAATGAATATGGGATTTTTAGTCTTTTTTTTTTTTTTTATCCTTTTCAAACCTGTGAGATCCTGTTCTGTTAACCACATGAGAGACTGTCCAGTCTTAGTCATTGATTCTGGTTATTCTAGATATTAGTATCTCTGTGGGTGCTCTGCCTTTCCTCCTCTCTGCCTCAAATGAACCCTGAATGTTGTGATGCATGTGCAAGAAGGCAAGGTTAAAAGTGTCCAGACAAGTATAAAAATAATTTCCTGCACTTCCTAATATTTGATTCCCTAAGGGACATCCTTGCCTTTGTTTTACTTGTCCTTATGAATAATAAAGAGGATAGTTAAATTTAAAATACACATTTATATATCTTTACAGATTCTAAATCATATCTGTGCACATGTATATAAAGAGTTTGATTTCCCATTTCATATTCTTGTACTTCCTGAACAAATGAAAAACAAAAGTAATTTAAAGTATTATGTTCTGCTTGCCAGTGAGTCTGTCTGTGTTATTTCTAGCATCCTAAGCCATTCCATTGCAAAAAGGCTGGCTCTTGTGTTGCTACATTTGCTCGTCTCCTTCATTTACTGTGAAGGAAAGGCTATTCACAAATGTACTTTTTCCTTTTGGCTTTTGTATTTCCAACTGTATCAGGACTGTAAATATTGTCAACAGAGAAATCTCATAACTGCTTACAAAAAAATTGCTTCTGTGCAAAAGTGGAGAGGAATTTTCTAAGAATGTAGGACTAATGAAACACTAAAAAGTGCTCAGTGGCAGCACTTCATGAAGGCTTCATAATGTAGGAATGTAAAATTCCTGCATATTTTGCAGCTCATGTCAGAATTAAAATAATGCAGCAGTGGTTTCCAAATGAGGAACTGATGTCAGATGAGCAAGGCTGACATGTAGCCTCTAAAATCAGTAAGGTATTTCTACTAGAAATGTATCTTTCATTGTCTTTCATTTTATACTAATTTAAATTCTTGGACTTTTTGGTGCTTTCTGTGGAAATAAAAAAGGGCACAAATATGGTTACATAACTGATTGACTCAGTCATTTCTAAAGCATTAATTTTATTCTGATTGCATCATCAGTTGCACATACAAAGTGATTAACTGCCTGTTGTGCATACCAGCCCAAGTTCATGTGCTTCTATTGACTTTCTTAATTGCAAGATTTGCAAACCTTTGGTTGCCATATTTAACATTACTGGCACAGCTAACTTTTTCAGCCCTTGCAGTGCATTTTAGCTTAAGTTCTGTCTGGATTTACTATAGATGAAAACTTTCATTATTTTTAAAATATATTCAGTGTATAGCTTTAAATAGTCAGTTGCAGTATGTAATGAAGGGATACTTCTGTATTTATAAGGATTTGCCAAGTCTTATGTTCTTAGTAATCTTGAAAACCTCTTCAACAGGACAGTGATTTGAAAAAAACAGTGGATGAAAGCGCACGGATCCAGAGAGCATACAACCACTATTTTGATCTGACCATTGTAAACGACAACCTAGACAAAGCCTTCGAGAAGCTACAGGCTGCTATCGAGCGACTGAGGCTGGAACCACAGTGGGTCCCAATTAGCTGGGTGTATTGAGATTTCTCAAGAGGAGCTTAAGTAACAAATAAAATCAACTGCAGCAGATACGCTAATGTGATGTGTAGATACCGATGATAACCTATGGCACCTGTGCATTTTTACTCTGTGTATATTCAAAAGTACACTATTCTGAATTTTTATAAAAATGTTGAAGGGAAAGTGTACTTAAATATGTAATTTATTTTAATTTTTCTAACTTTTTACAGATAACCTTTCTATTCATATCACATTAAGGAAATGCGTTTAAGCATTTTTATATGTTTTGATTTAGTACCTTTGCCTTTTTCATCTAAGAAACTTCCAGTAGTTCGCTTCAACATTTACATTTTGGTCTTACATTTTCACTGTGACTAAAAAAGGATACTTGAAACAATTTTTGTAAACCTTGTTAACGTCAGTGTTTAACTGGTCAAAAGTCTATAGCTCTTATTAGGAAAGAACACTAATTTCTTTGGGGTTTCTTTTTCTTCCTTAAAAAAAAAATAGTAATTTCATGGGAGCAGAATTTTAAATATGAAAAGCGGCAACCAACACACAGCTCCATTGCTCCAGCTTCTTTTGGCTTAATGGTACATTCTTGATGTTTCACAGATTCTCGATGTCTTGATTTAGAGAGCTGCTGTGTAGGTTCCCTTATACGTGTCTCTTAAAGTAACGTAAAGCAATACCTTACAAGCTGCATATTAGGCTGTTCTTGGGAGCCAGCCTGCTAGCTCATTGTGGTTGAAGTACTGACGTTAGAAAGCTTGTACGCAAGGTAATTCAGGGCAGTTTGAGTAATGGTGAAGTAGCCCAAGAGAGAACCTGATAACGTGGAGCCTTGTAAAGTGACGCTTAATGTTTAGGACTATTTATCCACACTTGTGAAAAATACATTGCTTTAAAAAAAAAATAAATAAAAAAAAACAAACGCATTTTCTTTTGTTAGGACATTGTTCAGTATTTGTATAGTGATCTGTGGCTTAATTTCCTGTGAGATCTCGCTGGGTTCTATATTTTCTTTTTGAATATTTGTGTGTGGTCAACTGCTGTATTTTTATGAGTGCGATGTAATGGAATTTCTGTGCTTTTTGTTACATTGGTTTTAATTGCATTTTTTATTAGATAGGTTGTGAATTGGAAGCTTACTGCTAAAAAGCAATGTTGTTTATACCTTTTTGTTTTACAACATATTTCCTTTTGTTTAGTGACATTTCTCCCCATAGTAGGCTTATTGATATAATTCGTATTAGGTTCAAGTTCATCAATCAAAACTTATGCTGATGTAAATCTCTGCTTAACAAGAACAAAATGAAAATATAGCTTGTCGCTAAGACTAGTGCTTTTTGTGACCATATTTTATATTATAAAGTCAGCTGTTGTATATAGTAACATTCACCATTACTTACCAGGTTAGGTGTCTAAACTGAAGTCATCTCTTTGTTTAATTTCTCCTCCATCTGGTGACAGGCACCTGGCTTCTGAATTTGCTTTCAACACCAAAGCGTGAGATGGAATGCTGTCAAAAGGCAACTTCCTCAGAACTATTTCTGAAGGAAAAGAGGCTTAGACACTGTAAAACAGTGTTGCATCCCTGGGGCTCTTAAAGACTTTTATGTGCACAAGGAAAAGAAAAATGGAGTTGATGCAGAATAGGAAAAGTGTAAGTCTCAAAAAACCCCTCAAAACACCTGTATACTGCAGATGATTTTTACAAAGCCTATAAAGTTGGTAAAGTTGGTTGTTGTGGGGGAAACGGGGTGGGGGGAAAGGGGGCTTGAGATCCCAGTGTATGTGGAAAATGTCAGTCAAAACTCTGTATAGCACAGGTACTCTTTGTGGCTCTTAGTACTGAGATTTCAGTCTTTCAGAGGGAATCTGAAATTCTCTAAGGAAAATTTGTACCACTACTTTGTTTTATTGTTATACTTTTCAGGATGTGTTTTCTTGAAGTTTGGCAGAGCTTTTAAATGTGGCACCAGCATGAGACTTTTATTTTCCTTTCCCGGGAGACATGTTCTGTGATCCTATTGCTCAGAGGCTGCTTTGAGAAATGGATCGAGCGTTGTATGTAGCAGCAATGATAGCAGAGCCATTGCGCGATGTATTTTAATGATTTGCTATTGGCACTATATACCGAACGTGACTAAACTGTGTTTGTATACTGTGTAATAGGAGACCTACATAGGCTGTAAATAAGATGTGCTATCTGGACAGATATGATGCCTTTTCATGATGAGTTAGAAAATACTCTATTTGTGATGCCAAAAGTGGGCTAAGCTCACTCTTACCTAATGAATGGAATGAGAAGGTTCTTCCATTTCCACACCATAGTACTTTATATGGCAAATCTAGCTTATTTTCATCTTTTTTTTTTCCATAAATTTACTTAACCAAATGAAACCCGTGAAACATGGACACTAAGGTTTAGTCAGGAAAATCTCTCCTTCGATTTCCATCCCAGGGAGAATACCGTCAAAAGAGCCTCCCTAGTTAGCAATCTCCAACTAGCCATGTGTTTGCTAAAGCCCAAAGCTTTAGCTTTCGCTACAGGCTCTCGTAGCATTTCTAAACCCAGCAGTTAGCGCAGTGGGCCCTAGTGGCTGCCCGTTCGGTGGTGGTAACGTAGATGCTAATGAGAAGTACAATTCTGAAGCAGTAAGAGAAGATGGCTTGCTTAGGTTGCACACAAAGATCGTATCAACGTGTCTGCAGGTTTTAATTGGATGTCCACGTGCAGGTTGTAAGGGGGGAAAGAAAACCACCTGAACACCAGAACTCCTTGCATCTATTTGTTAAATCTTGAAAATTGGGAGTTCAGATTGGCAGGTTATATAATGTTGGGCGGGGGGGAGAGGGATTGGTTTGTTCTTGTAGTGGTGGGTTTGGTTCAGGTTTTTGTTTTTTTTTTAGCAAGATCAGATTTTCGTCAGATACTCTGCTTAGTTTGTCACTACCTGCTAGGATGACTAGAATGAGAATGACAGTTCCTTCTTTTTTTAAAAAGCATTCTTGGATGTTCTTAGAATGCTGGTGCCATTTCAGTCATATACACAGTGGTGATATATACTCTATGTACTCTACCTGTTAGGGTCTGCTAGATCAGATGTTTAGAGAGACACCTGTATGTTGGGCAATCGGGAGAAAGACACTCTGAAAGGCTAGTTCTGAGCAAGTGAAAATCCTTCATCTAACAGCTGTTTGAAGCGTTTTGGAGGAGTTAAAATAACTGGGATTTCATATATCTTATTCTGTACTAAACATTCATTTTCCAGATACTAACAAGAAAGCTTTTCACATCATTGACTGTTAATGATAACAATAGGTGTGTCTGAGCGAGGTGAAGATGCTGCTAAATGTTTAAGATATGTGGTGTGTATCACGAGATAAATATTTAAGTAGTTTAGAAAAGTAAATTATCAAATAGTTGTCTGTGTATATGTATGTGGATGGTAAAACAAAAAATGCTCACATCTGCTGTCACATTACTAAGCTACCATGACCTAATCCAGAAATGTACCTGCATGTGAGACTTTAGAACTGGTACACTTCTCTTACCTGGTTTATTGTGTTTACTAATGTATATTTTTCTAAATATACAGATATTTCAATCTAAAAATTCTATATTTATCTGTAATTTCTATCTGTTTTGGACAGTGCATGAGGTGCTGTAAAATTCTGTACATATAGAGACTTAGAAGAAACACTGTAGTTGCCCTGTGAATGAGAAGTTATACATAAAAGTATGGTCAGTATGCCAAGACCCGTAAGTTATTTCCTTAAATGCACCAAAAATTCCCTTACGTGTGCACCAATCTCAACTTTAATGTAAATAACTTTGGTGCATGCGTACCCAAGTGATTACCTTGCTGTCTTTAAATGTTACACTTGCAGGGCTACTTCAGGTTCTACATCGTGTGACAAGATGCGGTCAGTTAAAGTTTAACCGGATAATGGTAGTGAGGTGTGTCATCTTGCACAGATTTATAAAGGTTTAAATTTATGAAGTTGGAGCAGAATCACAGACCGACGTAGGCAAGGGAAATTGAATTTATAACCAATGCAGTATCCTTAACTTGTGCTGTGTTGTCAGATCAGTGCAGCTCTGTGTACTTAGTGGTACAAAAGCTTTGTGGAGCAGGCTGGCAGATCAGCTCATCACTTCTGAATTTCTGTTTATATGAACTGTCGCATCTTGCATAGGCTCAAAATGTGACACTTTTTCCCTAATCCTATATACAATTCGAATGCTTTGTGTCTTCTAAAATCATGCCTAAATGACTGGCTGTACAAACTGCCTGCAGCTCAGTGTTCAGGAAGTCATCTGGGTTTGGTTTCGTTTTGAAGAGGGTGATTCAGATAGGTAAGAAATGGGAAACATTTTTCTCTTTGAAACACAGAGAACTCCTGGCTTAGGTACCCTTTGGAGCCAAGCTTGCCAAATGATCGCCACTCCGGCAGTCACAGGAGATGTGAGTTATTACCCATCTTTACACATGAGCTAGCGTCGTGAACATAAACAAGTTCCAACTTCCCTCACCTATTCCTCTGTTTCCCATCCAGGCTTCCTCCCTCTTGCTGCTTCATTCAGACTGAACTTTGCTGTTTCTCAATACATCTATAGTGCCTACTGCAGCAGATTCCCTGTCACTCGTTGTGCCTGTAGGTACAGCTTTAAGATAAGTGACCGTTGGAGGTCTGTTGCATTGATCAGGCAAATGTATATGGACCATTTGCTTTGTGCAGGGTTTCTTGCCTCACCCAAATTGTGAAGAGTTAAAGTACAGTACCCTATTGTTATTGCCAAACTTCATGATACTACTTTTGTATAAGTGGTGAGAAATCCATGTGTCGATTCCGGGGTAGTGGTTATTGGATACACAGACTTGTCGTCCACTAGGCCTCTTGCCTTAAGTACCCCTCCAGTCCCCACACACAACCTGTCCTGGGACATTAAAGGGATTGCTGTAGTTAAAGGTACCTTCATTTGCTTTCTCTGGTGGGTTTTTTTTGCTAGGTTTCTTTTTTTAGCCTACCCTTCCTGGTTTTCATGTGTGTTTAACAAGCTTACTGATGGGGATTGTCTGGGATTTGCAACTTGTGTCTTGTAGAGGAACCAGTGGCCAATATAAGCATTGGCATTTAAGACTGGTGTGACTTACTGTTTTCAGTCCCCAGACAGATACTACAAAAAGAAAATTGTGAAAAAAATAGTGAAAACACTTGTAAAATCATCAATTTTCAGAGGCAGCTTCAGCTTCCAAATGTATTAAAGTGCACTCATGTGTACACACACCCCTCCCCATATATAAATAAAACTTAGGGGTAGGTACTGCAAGTAATTCAGACAGTATTTGCTAATTTACCTGAAGCCTCCAATGCAGGATACTGTTCCACACCCTGTCCCATTTTCAACTGCTGAATTCTCAGTTCAGGTGCTGGTACAGCAGCTGGAATTTACCTGCACAGGCTTCAAAACAAACTCCAGCTTGGTGAAGGCTGTTAAGTAGTTTCACCTCCAAATGGAGTATCTTTTTTTTTTTTTGTATAGGATAAGTTACACTTAAAGTAAATGTGAATTTTGTTCTCAGTATTTTTAACCTTTTCTCATGCCAGTTGGGTATGGAGTTCCTTTTGCTGCTAAGGCAGTGGTTAGAATACTTACTGACCCGCCTGCAAGGCTAAGATAGTTAAAGTAGTCCTGGAAACACTTTCTCCCACTTATCCTTTTCCTTTTAATATCAGTAGCTCCATACTAATGCTTGTCCATGCAAGCTTGGCTGTCCTGACACCCATCCACGTATTACTCCATTACCTAGAAGACAATAATACCTCTTCCAAAACCCCCAAGTAACTTTGTTATTTGACTGCTTATGTGATGCCTGCTGTAGAGCAGAAGGAGCAGTGCTGCTTTGTACAGTTCTGGGGGTAGCAGCAAAATTGTTGGCTGCAAAAAACAAAAGCATTTTTTGACTGATTTTTGTTAGTTTAGGTCTTGTACACAATTATAGATAGAATGTCGAAATGTATTTCTCCCCCCTTTGAACATGCACGTTGAGCATTCCTTCCTCTCCCCCACCTCCCTCATCATCTCTTGCCTGTGTGTAACACTTGCAAACTGTGGTGTCAGAAGGGGAACCGCTTTCTTAAGTTTTAAAGTACAAGAAAGTTTGCTGCTCTCCCACCCCCAACTGGGAAAAGAACTGTAAAATCTTGGTGATGTGTTTGGATTTAAATCTGTATTAGAAGTCTGTCACCGTGCATTTCCTTACCTTGCTTGTTCTCACAACTGTTTTTGCCTATCAGAAGCTCTCGTGGTTTGTTTGTTGTTCTTTTTTCTTATACAGCACATTAAATTAAACTGGATTTGACATTTGTAATACTTTACTTTAAAAACTGCTCTCCTGTAAAAAAAATATACTTTCTTCACCTAAAAATATCCTACAAAAAAATCTTACCCATTAAACTTACTAAATCACCTTCAGGTTTACATTAGAACCTAACTGTTGTTTGACTACAATACTGTAAAGCAGGCCTAGGAGGTGGGACTTCATACTGATAAAGTCAGCCGATACATAGGACATTTTAAAATTGTGACTTGTTTTCTAAAACCCCCCCTTGTCTTTTTCACAGCTAATATTTTCACAATAAACACAGCCAAACGTAAAAATGTTAATGTACAAATTGTGAAATTCTGTTAATTCCCAACAAAATATTTTTGTATATAATAAAGATTTAATATGGAAAAAATGTAATTGGCTTTTTTCCTGATATTTTTGGTCATACTCTGTTTCTGAACACATCTGCCTTTTATCTTTAACCAAGCCTTTACTGCTGAAAATCCACACCAACACACAAAGTATTTTCTGCTCGGACACTGACATAGTGGGCTAGTAGCAAATATTATACTGACCAACTCATCTGCACAGATGGGGCTTTGCACTGCGTGCTGCTTTGTGGGTTTGGGTTTTTTTTGTGTGTGTGGTTTTTCCTTGTTTTAAGAGTAGCAGGCCTCACAGGTACACAGGCACTGCTAGTAGAGCATGTTTGGGCCTAGTTTAGTGCTCAAAGTTCAGAAACTTTTTGGTTGGTCTTGTTTCGCTTGCTCTTCTTGAATGCACCGAATCCTCATTCAGTGTATAGAGCTCTGGGGGCCTCTTCAACCATCCCATAAATCCCATTGCTGAATTTGGGCTCCTTATTTTCTGAGCACTGCTGCATTAAGGGAGCCGGTCTCCTGGGCCCATGCTGCAATTAGCCAGCAGCCAAAAGCCCAAGGGACTCCGGACCGCAGCTTGTAGAGCAGAGGGAAGCAACATTTTGGGGAGGGAAGTCAGGGTGTGAAATCAAACCTTTTACGAGACAAGCTCCAGCCTTCTCTGAAGGACCCTACAGCCCTTTCACTACCTCTGCTTTCTAGGGATGGCCTGTGTGAGGCCAGCCTCCCACAAGAAATGGCTGTTTTATCTAAGATACAGTGGATGCGTATCCACCTCTTCTAAAGTGGATTCTGAAAGAATTTGGTTCAGTGCAGCTTAGGCTAGGCCTCTGAAGAGCCTACACTCATTTAGCTTAGGGAAAGGCAAGACAAGAGTTACTTGGAAATGGTGCTTTTGCTGTTCTTCATTTCCCCAGTCTGAGCTATTTTTAATATTAATGAGCATAAGGATCCTGCTTTAAAGAGCATGAAGAAAAAACTGGGGGGAAAATGATGAACGTATGAACTGCCTTAGTGTTTCTCCCCCGTGCCCTCAATCTGTGCTGCTCACTCAGTTCTTCTAAAAAGGCCACCCTAACCTACCCAACCCGGACCTGTTTGTCTAGAGGTGCTTCTGTGGTCACAGAAGAGCTGCCAAATGGAGGGAAGCTGGGAAACCTCTCCACAAAGAGCACATAAAAGGACAGAGCCAAGACAAGTGCAACCAATGGCTTCTGCAGACAAACTGATGAATCCTGCCATCCTGAAAGTATGGCAGCAGGTGAGGCGAGGAGCCAAGAGACCCAAGCAACCTTTGTGGCTAGCAGTCTGGGGTCCCTGGGGCACACCACTGTTTGCCCAAGTGTCTCTCACATTGTGCAAGTCCGAGTCTGCCCCGACCTCTGCATCTGCCTCGCTGAGCAGAGGCCCCACTGTCCCTGCAACCCCTCTTCTCTGGGCATCAGCAACCTTTATACTCCTCAGCCTGAACCTGTCGGTGGATTTTGCTGAAGCAAGAGACTAACCTACATCTGAAAGATTGTAGCAGGAAACAAACAAAACCTTTTCTTTTTTTCACGTTGTTTCTGTAGAACACGTAAGGCATGTTGGGGTTTTTTTCCTCTTTAAACAAATTCCCTCCTACATGTACAACAGAGCACGCACACCCTGAAAGCAGTTTGGCAGTGCAGCACACACAATGCTTACACCAAAACTCTGTAAGAAAGATCAGAGCCTGTGGACAGTGGCACTACATGGATGCCCACATGACCTTTGCTCTCTGTGTGCACCATCTTTCAAGGCCAAGAGAATGACTGGAATCCCCCCCAAAAGAACAATAAAAATGTTGATAAATTATTCTGCTGTTTTGACATAATATTTAATACAAACCTTTAAATAAATTAGTTCGTTACAGAGGCAACTTTTGAGTAGCTGCTAGCAAAAGACTATGTTTTCATTTACAGACACACGTGACTCCCAGAAGCAGGGTAAGGAGCTTCCACTCCCCTAAGGACATTTACACCCACACCAGTGCAAGGTTCAGGCAACACCATCAGCTTCCTTTCACAGACGAGACACAAAAACGCCGCCAGCTCAGTGTGCAAGGCGCTCCTGCGCTCCAGGGCATGGTAAGGCACCACGGTGCTTTTCTGCAAAGTCCACTGGCTCAGGGGGAGCTGAACTGATGTAAGTTTTTAAAAGATCTCTTAAACAATCTGCTCAAGACCGCATGGGAACAGCGCAGACTCCCAACCCACTCGCTAAGCTGCAGGGCCTGGTTACTGATCGCTCCCCCACCGCTGCCTGCTTGTTTGCCTGTCAGCCATCTCACAATCTTACCTGAAAGCACTGACATTCCACTAACCCAGAACATCATCTTCCCAAGCCTGTACTTACAGTGATCTCTGCTGTATTTCTCTCCCATCCACATGATTACAAAAAAATCACAACTAAAAAAAAAGAAAGGCAAAGCAGTTCAAAGCACAAAGTGCTTTACTAACACTTTGCCGTTAGTCAAAGAAACAAGCAAAACATCTGCCCTCGAAATGTCAGATGGGTAAAATGATCATTTTTGTGGAGTGTAGCCGGGACACTTCAGGGGCACACACCAAAAGGCATCACTATATCTCTCTGAAAGTTCAGAACACAATTTAAACAGCTGGAACTTGCTAAGGTGAGTAAAAACTTACTAGAAAACAGAGAAATGCTGTACAGAGGCATAAATCCCTAAGGTGGTCTTAGCTTTTGAAAAGAGTTTTTTTTATTTCCTGCAGTGTGCAGTTCACATCTGTAAAGCCAAACTATACTTAATAAATGAAAACCTAATCAAGTACCTCTTTGAGAGCCCTCCATTCCACTTGCTCCAGAGTGAAGGCATTCTGCACATTGTCTTAAACAAGCAAAACATTAACTGTGTTGCAGAACCCTGGACTTCCACAGCCTGCTTGTTTGCTTGCTTACAAAAAGCAGTTTGTGCTTTGTGGTTTTCTCCCATGCATACTAATGCGAGCAAGCAGGCTTCTACTGCCCTGCAGATCTGACGACTACCAGAATACCTATGTTCAATTTCTGTTCCAGGCTTATCTTTTTTCTCTTTCTCCCTTCATCCCTTACTTACAAATGCTCCACTGCAGACGTACCTCAGTGAAGCCGCAGAGTGGCAGCACACCTGACGGCGGTGCAGAGTGCTCACCCCCAGCATGCCGAGTCCACCCTGGCCTCCACAACCCCTGGCTGGACTGCTCCAAGTACCCAACTGAGTGGCTCTACTGCTAGCTCAAACACACCAACGCTACACTGCAGAGCTACAGAAATACAAACAAGCTACAGCAGTAACTGGATACTCAGCAAAGCTCCTACACATTCCCACCTAAAGCATAAAAACCGTACAAGGCAACATAAAGAACAAGTGGGAAGAATCTAGGTTCTTTCATAGTTACAACTTTTACAGAAGACTCTGTCATTTCCAAATTAATGTTTGATGAAGCAAACAGCCTTTGCACAACATCAAATCTTCCTCTGTCAGTGAGGGACGCCACCAAAGGACTGCTCAGCGCCACGGTGCCATCGGCTGAAGTGATATTGGGCTGTATTCATGAGAGAGAACAGAAGACAAAGACATCAAAGAGGCTTTCCAAGCGGTGCTGTTCCTGCCATCGCGTAGCTCAGTTCTTTCTTACAAAACCACTAGAGAGCTTACAAGGCAGTGGCAAAAGGGTGAGATTCCCTTTACTACTAGCCTTGACAGGTACGATGTACTCATCCTGAACCAAAGCTCTACTGCAGCCTTTAAGGAGAAAGGTGTCTCCTACCATGTCCCTTCCCCCAGTTCAACTTCTCTCACTGCAGATCACACTTAACTCTCACTCTTACTCGAAGCAGACAGTAGCACTCCCCTTGCACCTACACGTTTAAAGGTTTTTACTATTATTTTTGTCAGTGAGCTTAAAAAGCTTAAAAAAAGCCCTGCCTCTTTCCTTTAGCAGTTTCAATGAATGGCCTCAGAGTTTTGGAACTTCAGGATTTGCCAAGGCCCAAGCACTGCTGCTAAAGTGAAATTTGTTTCCCAAGGGCAGGTGATTACTGTTACTGAGATTTTAAAACAGACTGGTAAGACTATCAGTAAATTAAAATTAGAGCCTGAGTTACAATTTTCTTTTGCTCACAGCCCATGAAATCTCCCAAATACAGACATGGTTTAGAAGGTATCCTCTGGCAGTAAATTACCTGCATCGTTTGCCACTGTCAGACTCTGACCTTGCCTAAGCAATGCCTACAGCTGAAATTCACACTAGAGCTTGACATCATCTTTATTGGGCGAGAAACACAGCAAGGCAGAGAACACAGTCATTACTGCTGCTGGGGCCCACATGCTACACAGTCACATTTTGATTACTCACCAAACAACACAATGCTGGAACAACCTGAAGATCACAGCAGGCACGCAGCAGGAGAAGAGTGTAATCAGACAGTTCTGTGAAGGAAACATTAAAAGGGAAAGATTGGTTCCAGTGAACAGTGCACAAGGCTGGCTGCTGGAAAGGGGAATTTCTTAACAGTGACTTCTGTTACAGGGTTCTCCTGCTGAGCAAAGACAAATGAGCTGCATTTGTGAGGGCCCCCCGCAGGTACAGCACCTCGTGAAATGGACACTGGAGACCAAAGCGATTCAATGCTGAGGACAGCACTTGAGTTGTCACAAGTGCTCAGCTGGACATTTGGAAGAGGCTGATCCAGCCCTTTCCTGCCTGCTTTCTTGGAGCACAGAATAGAACGGGATGGGCACTGGGTAGAAGCTCCACACTGACTATCCCTGTCCTTGAGAAAAGGCAGCTTGTAGGAAAGGGGATTTCCTCCCCACCATTCTGTCTCGTCCCTAAGTATCTCCCCTGTGTTTCACTCCGAGTCTGCAGGCTGGATGAATGATTTATACCTTGAATAAAACAAGAACCTCCGCTCTCGAAATCTGTATGAGATGCTGCCTTCAGCAAAAACACCATTTGAGAGGAATGACACAGCTGAGACTGCCTTGGGGCAGGGAGATGGACTAAATGATCCCTGTGGTGTCCTTCAACTCTGTAACTCTCTAACTCAAAGGCTGTAATTCCTAATAGAAGCAACAAGTATAAACCAGCTATATTTAGAATCATAAAATCATAGCAGCAGGTATTACATCCAAAGCCAGGTGAAAATGCAACACACTCAATTAACTGCACCCTGCTGTTAACAGCAGCTGACAAGTGTTACCACATCAGCAGGTTTCTGTTTTCTGTTTCTTTTCTGTCTCCACAAATGGGTGGTACTCTGCTTATATGGGTGCACCTACCTGGGTACTGTGCATATATGGATGCACACTGACATTCTGCTGCACAGTGCCAAATCCAACTAATACCACATTGGACTTCCCTTTGTTATCTTAATGTCAAGAAATTCTTTATATATGAGAGAGAGGAGAAAAAGCCCAGAAAGCCTGTCCTGGACTTTGCGGGTAACTTTTAATTAACACTGTGGTGCCAACTAGATTGTGAGGATGGCATTTGTTTGACATTTATGTTTAATCTCCTTTTTCAGCAGTTGCAAAACAACTCTCTAATTACAGTGTCGCTATGTTAAATTCATTTTTGCTAAATATAGTCTGCACCTCAACAATATATGCTGTTACACAGAACACCTAATTTGTAATTCTCAGCATTTAGGCCACAAGAACAGAAATTAGCTTGCCAAACTGGAAATACCCACATTCAGCAGAAAGTAGAGCTGAGCAATCTTGGAGGAACATGTATTTTACAAGCAAAAAATCTGTCAGTGATTGAGGGCTGAATTTAATTCACAGCCAGGAACGCTAAGCATGGTATACCAAACCCATAAAAAGGAACAGAACAAAATATGTTCACTCAGCTCACCAACTGCTCAAAAAGAGCCATAAACGCTTTAACACAGAGGTAGCTTCTAACAGGAAAATAATAAAAAAGGGCTCTGCTCTTCATTCACAACATACCAGAGACAGCACTGATGAGGAGGTGAGCAGCTGAGAAGAGTTCTTTATCCTGAGGCTGATACTTCTGCAACAGCAGCTCACTCTGTAAACTGCACCCTAAGAGCTGCAAGAAGTCATGGAGGTCTTGTTGTTGTGCAGGTTTTAACTCCTTCAGATTTGGCTTGTTTCCGGTACAGATATCATCTAACTGGAAGCAAAAGAGTAAGTAAAACTTCTTGAAAAGAAAAAAGTTCAAGCAAAAGAGAATACTAGCTCTATGCTGAAATTACTTTTAGGAAGCAAGCAAAAGTTTCTTCATCTTACCACGTCCTCCAGGGCAGTTACCATTTCTTCATGGAGCAAGAGTTCACAAAGGGCTTTATATAAAGCTCTCTGCTTGTCTTCCGGCAGCTTCACAAAGGGCTGGAACTGAGTCTTCAACCGTGACACATCTTTCCCAAGAAAGCAGTAAAAAGCAAAAGTAAGTATTTCTACACAAATGCCAGTAAAAACAGCTAATATTTTTTTGCTGTGGGTTTCATAAGGTCATTTATTGCCACATCTTGACATCCTGATTTCCATCAGCACAAGTTATAATGCAAGGCTGGAACACATCCGATTACGTTTCCCTAATGAGCCAATGAAGCGGCATCAATGCAAATTCCAAGAAAGAACAGCTACCAAGGATCAACAGTCAGTGTTCAGTATTTTCAATATTTTAGATGTCAGTTTTTTAATGTTAACTGAACTAATCATAAACTAAATTTCTCACTTGAAAGTTCATCTCCAGAGGATGTTCATTTATAACATATAAGGCAGAATGAAAAGTTCTGCTCATAACCTTACTTCTTAATCTGCACGTTAATAGGAATTACAAAGTCAATGGTATGAATCCACACACAGAATTAAAAGTTCCTATTATGAGGACAATAACAATTTAGCGTCACATTTCATCAGGTTTACACCCCTTCACCTCTGATCTAAAAAGACTTATTACAAAAATCAGGATAAAAATCTCTTCATTAAAAATACTGAATCCATTACAATACATACAACAGAAGCACAAGAGTTGACTGCACTTCTTTCCCCACAATTCAACTATAACACTAAACCAAAATGTTTTATGACATCGAATTACCACTTTGCTAAAAAAAAGTAAGTTTTCATGTCAATAATACCAACTGGAAGATTGGAATGTGTTTTTCCACATTCCAAAAATATGGGCACGCAAGTGTGCTTAACCTTGTTTAAAAGAAATTTCCCTTCATGTCACTCCAGTCAAGAAACACACTCTCTTTAAAGATGCCTTTTATATCTAAAAATTACTTCACTGGGCTAGAGGGGAAACCCAGCCACAGGCAAATATTTTTTGTACCTAATGCAATCATATGACTGTCTATACAAATAACAGAAGAAGAAACCTACTTTAAATTGCTTTAGTAGAAACAATTTTTATTTTTTTTTTTTTTCCAAGAGACAGTTCAGGTTAATTAAAAGAAACCTCAAAGGCTTTTAAGCAAGAAAGGCACAAAGGTATGTTAGGCTAAAACAAAACACAAAACTGTGGCATACCATTCTTTCACAAATAAGTGTTTTTTAGATACACAGGGAGACAAAGTTATTCCTTTCAAGCAAGTTTACATTGGAGAATGACAGAAGTTATTTCAGGACAACAAATATCTATTTTGGTCACAGTTAGTCTACTGAACAGCCATGAACAAAGAGTGAAATTTAGAGATAACAAAAGTGATGTTCATCGTTAGAACCAGCTGTAAGAACTCTACCAAGAACTGATTAAAAGGTGTTCTGAGGCCTTGATTTGTTTTTTCCTTTTTTCATTCCTCTGGTGACAATCCTGCCCCCTCCTTCCACACCCCAACAATAAAGAGGTTGCGCCTGGGTCATTATACCAATTTGCAAACTTTCATTTAAATCACATTTTAATTTTGTCAGCCTTAGTTGATACCGAAGATTTCTATAAAGTTTCCCAGAAAATAATGAGTTTAAGTGAAGGCGGGGGAGAGGTCTTTGTAATTCTTGAGACTTAATATAACCTTTAACTGAGAAGCTTTACTGAGAGCATTTTCCAAATGATGAAAAAAATATTTTCAGCGAACCTTTCTGAATGAAAGCATAAATCATCACTAATCTTATAGAGCTTATCTGGAACGTAACAGAACTGGCATAAAAACCTGATTTTGTAAAATCGTATTTATGACACAGGGATTCAGGATGTTTCTAGGTAACAGTCCACTGCCTATACCTGTTGCAGAAGTAGATTCTTCTATTCTTTCAGTGCATTTCCCCAAGAGTTCCTGATACGGGCTACTAAAATCAACTAACATAATTTCTTATGTACTATTGTACCAGATTATTTCCTCCTATCATGTTGCTTAACTCATTGTAATGTAGTCATTTATAGCATTTCTGGTAATACCTTGTTTCAATACACTTAAAGAAGCATCACTGGGAATGAGGTTTTTAGCCCCAGAGTACATCTCATTATCAACAGCATCTGGCTGATAGAGAAATGAAGCATCTCTGAATAGCGCTGAATGGGGATAAGTTGAGCCTTCTGTGCTTTCTTTTTCAAAACCTCCTTGCTGTTCATCTAGCAGACAGAATTCTGTAATTAGAAATTCAATTAAAAAATATTAATAAAATACACAAGCGATTACCGAATGAGATGCTAGTTTGTATTATCTACTGTTCTCGCATGTGATTTCTCCACGTCTCATGCCTCTTCTAGATGGGAAGAATGCCAATGGTTGCTATGTATGCGAATTATCAAGTGTTGCTGCAGCCCTGATGTTTGGTACAGTGCGCACAGACAAAGGTCCTATGGTGCAGCTACCAACTACAAAATGTGACACCAGCTCCTGAGAATTAAAGAAATGCAGAGAGCAAATAATTTCTCACTGACACTGTAAACCTGAATGCTGCATACAAGAGATGCAGGTATGAATTCTTCACATCTTCTACCAGTTAAGAGATGTACTGTAATGCGGGCTACAGGATCCACTCATGATGGAGACACATGAAAGCAATTTCTGCAATTCATATGAAATCTGAGAGTCCCTCACAGAACTTCTTCTGGTCATGGCACTGACAGATTCCACTTTCTGAGCCAAGCCACAGGTTCATTCTCAAATCCTCCAGATGAGTGGAAAATGGGGGGCTTTTCAGAGCCTCTAAAGGACTTCACCCAGGTGTGTTCACTAACAGAATCACTCTGCAATATACTGTCTCTTTGAAATAACTTAACAAAGAAAATAACACACCCTGGCTGGATTACCCTTTCTGCTTCATCTTCTTGATGAGCACTGGCCTACGTCCCCCAAACAGGACTTCAGATTTCCTGCCACCCCAGTGCTCCCCAACTAAGGCAACTAAGCCAAGGGACTCCTGGAAGGTACACAGGGAGCCTTTGTAAGAGTCATGCTGAGAAGTCTGGAACATCAAGTTCTGTGCTCATGTGTCCAATATTGTGCCCCAAAGATATATAGGGCTTTGATTATATTCTGCATATTTTGATCACCTTTTATTTGCTCAATTGCAAGATTTGAAACTGTACCCCTGGCACTCTCAGAAGAATGCAGGCAGGCTAGCAAGAGGAACTCAATTTTACAGTAATGCCTGACAGCAAAGAGAGAGGGGAAAAAAAAAAGTAATCAAGCACAGTGCTCACGTATACCAGGCACAAAACCTAAATATAACCTTCCTCCAGTTGTAAGAGTCTGTCTCACCAAATTAAGGACATTCAAAGCAGATGAGAATGCACGGAGAGCACTCTATGAGCAAAAAGCTTTTTCAAAAGGGACAGCAGAATAAGAAACCTCTGCCACAGAGAAAGACAGATGATAGAGACCTTTATGCCTCCATAGCCCTTCACAGAAAAGGGCGAGCTACAAAGGAGCAAAAAGCAATTAAGACAAATTAAAGAGCTTCCCAAAGCAACAAGACTCTGGACAGCAGCTGAGGCACCGTAAGACCAACACGCTCACGTTGCTTTCACTGAAAATAACAAGGCTTGCACACAAACCCTGAAGGAGGAAGATAGTGCTAATAAAGTCCCTGCCCTTCTAAGGCAGAATGATGCTAACAAGGGAAATCAAGACACAGAATCATGTGAAAAGCTTTAAGAGATACAGATCCTGCTGTTAAATCTTGTAATAGGACTCAATTCAGAGGAAGATACAGGACTCTGAAAGTTTTGTATTAATAGAACTGTTAATTAATTTTGTATCATTAATTTTGTCATACGAACAGAAGGGAAAATAAGTGAATGAAAAGAATATACATAATACTGCGGTATCTTCTCTATTGAAGTCTATTACATCCATCAATGACAAACCTCCACTAGTGTGGTTAGATCTTGTTAGTTATTCAGAAACATTAACAAAAGTGGAAGAAAACCAGAGATGATCAATGAAAACAATCAAAGGCAAAGAGACTCCTTTGCAGGGAGAGCTGAAAAGGACTGTTTAATTTGCACACATTTAAGAGGAAGCAAGTCACACGTATATAGCAATGAACAGAACAAAGCGAATCAGCGAGGTGCTACTATACCTCCTGTTTTGTAAAGCAAGAACAAGAGGACTTGCAGTGAAACTTTAGAGACACAAGACTGCAAAGCCTTTAACAGGAACAGCTTTTACACGTTGTGGAAAATTAGCCTGTAGAAATCAAACAGAATGATTACAGAAAAACATGATGGTAAAGGGATCAGAAAAGGATTAGACCTTTTTTGCTTTCTTTTTTTTGTTTATTTATAAAAATGTCCAAGCATGTCCGGTCATATTAGCCAGAACATTTTAAAGAAAGTTTATATACCATTCTTCCTTACATAGTAACTCAAACACTATCAGTGGCAAAGAAAAAGAAAGAAAGAAACAAAACCAACCAAACAAACTTACATACATCTTATTCCATGATTATCTGTGATGAGAATCCCATTATGTTACACCTGCTATGGTCACTTTCAGTCTCATGTGAAAGAACTACCTTAGTCTCTGGAGTTAACTCCAAAGGCTATTTTTATTTCCATAAACAGACACCGATCATGGCTCAGACATTAAGGAGTTGAAGGTTAGACTCCACCATAATTATTCTTGCTGGCAAATCCTTAATTTTGTTGTTAATTCCTCCACTTTACCTTCTGAATGACAGTCAGGCAAGAGAAGACAGCACAAATCTTTAAAAAATAAAAAAATAGAGGCAAGACATGAAACAAGCTGTGCTGGTTTTGAAGCTTAAAAGACATAACATTATATAAGGAAAAAAAAAAAAAGGAAAAAGAAGCCGAAGTGAAAAAAGAGCAGAGAAATACAGATCATTAACAAGACCCATGTACTATCAGACAGCAGGACATATGTGATTTCTAGATGGAAATTCTTAAGTAGGCTATCAGCTATACAGCTATGCAGTCAGATAGCCTTAATTGCACCTGATCACTCTGAGTTACAGTTCTATTATGACCATGAAGTCAATGCCCTCTGCTGTATCTCTGTGTTCAGTCTATGTCAGAGCAATTCCACATTTCAGAAATTTTTTTACAGGCTACGTGGTATTTATTTATACTCCTGAACCTACAGATGTCCTTAATATCAGAAGTTAGTTGAAGGAGAATCATGGAGAGTACCTTCTGTATTTCTTATCCAAATAAAGTGCATCATAAAGTGGATTAAAATCTCAACTGCACTTCAACGTATCTCCTGTTTCTCTCTACATCAGCCCTTTCCAACTTCCAGCCTTACACACTCCATATGATACCCTTCCTTCTTGCATAACATCCCCTGAAACCTCCTTTAGGACAGGGAGTTTAACTGAGGATAGACAAGACAGAAAAACCCAGGTGATTCTGCAGAGCAGAGTTACTACTGCCCCCCAACGCTAATTTCAACTTTTTTTTTTAACTTGACACCTGAAAGTATTCAACCTGAAATAAGTAACACATAGCCAGAAAACATGACATTTCTGTAACCATTCCGAGAACAATCTATATATGAAAGTGTAAAATAGACAGAAAAGTTTTAATTCCAGTCCTATACTTTATGAATAATTCTTTTTTTAGCATGACTGTTGTCTAAACATTCCTAGTTGAACATTGATTTATATTCAGTTCACTCTCCCTGCCAACAGGTGAAAGCAACAGCATGGGCTGAAAGCCAGCTAGCTAGAAGCAAAATTGCAGAAAAAGACCTGGACAACAAATTCGAGAGGATCAGTGGTGTGCCCTTGCAGCTATTGAAGTTTGCTGCATACTGGGTTGTACCAGCAAGAGCGTAGCTAGCAGATAGATGAAAGCAATTTTTCAATTTGGCAGACTGCATTCAGAGTGCTGGTTTTTGACTCCCCAATACAAGACAGACCTTCACATACTGCAGCAACCTTGCAACAGCCACCAAGATTGCTGAGAGCTAGAGAACATCATGTATGATAAGAGGCTGAAAGACTGGGTTTGTCCAGCTTGGAGAAAATAATTCTAAGGGAGAGCCTTATTGCTACCTACAGCCACCCAGTGGAAGCATTGAGAGAAGACAGAACCAGACCCTTTTGTACGACAACAGGACAAAAGGCAAGAGGCAGAAGTTAAATAAAGGGAAATTCTTGTTAGATATTAAAAAAGAAAAGTTCACCGTGCTGGTGGTAAAACATGAGAACATGCTGCTCAGAGGGGTGACGGAATCTCCTGCCTCCAGAGATACTCAAAATTTCAACAGACAAGGATACAAGCAATCTGATCTAACTCTGAACTTTGATCAAACTTCAAAAGCTGGCCCTGCCTTGAGCTGGGGCTTGAGCTAGACGACCTCCTGTGGTCTCCTGAACCCTAAATTATTCTGAGTTTATGATTTATGCAAACAAATGAAAAAGCATTACTGAATCAGAAGAGCAGCATTTCACAGCACAAATAACTATCAAGGCAATGGAGACCATACAAACAGCATCACCTTCATACACGGGGAAATGCAAAAATCATTGCCAAGCAGACAGCTCTGTCCACAGTTGAACTGCATGCCACAGAAAATGAGCTTTATACTTACCGAACTGGCCACTTTGCTTTATAAACAGTTCAATTACACCATAGGCAATAGTAGTCGCAGGAGGAATTTCAAGGATCACACTAGAGTCCTTCATCATACTTCCTTTTTCACTCACTGAAACCTAGAGGTCAGATTTATTCACTGTTTATCTGATTCAGCTATTGTGTAGCTTTAACACAGAATTAATTAAAGGGGAAAAAATACAGAGAAAGAATGTGCTTTACTCTCCATGACATCTAACTAAAGCACATGTAACATTTGACATCTATGAAAGGAACAAGATGAGCAGTGAGGTAGAAGCACAATGCCAAAAGCAGCTCTCAAACTCTTAGCTACCCTGTCCCAGTACAAAGTTGAGCTCCAGGAGCAGGTTTTGCCACACAAAACAGTGTCACTAGGAAATGGGCACCCACTTCAGTATCCTGCCCTGCCCTCTTCTATCCTGAAACCCCTTTTGCCCTGCTGGAAACTGGTACCAGGAAGGTGGCACTTGCACAGAGGGTTGTTGAACTGCAACTCCCAGATTTCTGCTACTGGAGACACCCTGTACACAGAAGTGATTCATCCGCAGCTTTAAAACAAAAAACAACAACAAAAAGAACACCAAAAACCCCAAACACCCCAAACCTTACAAAGAATGAGCATATGTTTTAACTTTGGTAATTCCTTTTCAATTCATAGGCAATTTTTCAGGTATCCTCACAATGCAGTTAATCTCTACTCCCGTGATTGAAAACAAACAGTTTCTCAATAAATATTAAAACTCAGAAGACACTGCAAACATTTTTGATGAATGATTGCTTGGCTTTTCAAATATATTTGCTTCAGCAATCCTTTCTGCTCTTCAGCTTTCACTGAATTGTTATATATTTGGTTTATGTTCTGCTGTAGGCAGGAATCTACATAGAAACCGAATCACAGTTTGACAGTATTGATGGAAACCACATTCCAGGCTCACACTAAAAGATGGCATCTTTTGCCAGTGAGGCAATGGAAAAAATATTTTACCTTTCTGAAGTTTCACAACTAAGCAGTGCAGTGAGTTCAACATGTTAAGGAAGCATGAAAAATACTCTGAAGTCTATTTGGAGAAATAATAATTTCTTCTCAGATAATCTGCAAATGTTCTATTCCTTGCAGATTTTTAATAAAACTTTTACCTTTACTATTTTTGTACTGCATCCCATCACACCGCCTATTTTTTCTTCTGTCTGGATATGTTCAGATATTGTACACTTCTGAGTTGTTACTATTTTTTCTCTCAAGATGCACAGCACTTCACGTTTTCTTTCTGTTACTTGTTGCAGTAAACTACTATTTAGATTTATTGTTCTGAAAAAGAAAACATCATTAACAACATAAATGCTATAACTGAGAAAAAGCATTTTGTTAATTGCTTGAAAAAGCTTTTATTGTAAAAACAACAACGGTTTCTGTACGAGCAATGTCCTCAAAATTATTATGTCCTCTTATTATCTGGTAGCATTAAATCTGTATTACATAGTAAGTCCCAACACACGTACTGAATTCTTAATTCCTTACTCTGAGCAAAAACAGCAGCTGTCTGGCTACTTTCTAAGCGAAAAAAGAAAGGTAGAACAAAAGACAACTTTAAGCTTCCTGTATAATATGAAAACAAACAGCCAGGCTCATGGACACTGGATTGAACCCTCTGCTGCTGTGAATTCATACTGACATTACCTTGGCCATGGCAGGGGATGCTGACTAACCATTCTCTTCAGAGTCTCATGTTAGCACAAACGGTCTCAGGAAGTCAATGGGTCGTATCTTGCAGTCTTTACTCAAAAGAATGATTTCAACTAAAAAAGTTACCAGGGAGTAAGTACATAAGTACTGCGCTCAAGGTCCGTATTATGAACTCACTGCAGCCTAGCACACTACTGCAGACATTATGCATGCACACACACAATAAAAGTATGTATAGCAGCATAATATGTAATAAGCATGTAATATAGTAGTATAATCCACACATCACAAAACTCTGCTTAGAAAGAGTGAAGTTGCAGTCAAGCTAGTGGAAATTAGGAAATATATAGCAAGCAGTCTTCCAGTCTGATTAGTTTCTCCCTTTGTAACCAAGCCCCACTTTTCCTTACAACAGTTCTCGGTTTGCTTTCTCTTACCTGACCAGATCAAGTCCCATTTCACAGAATCATTAAGGTTGTAAAAGACC